TTGGACTCGATGATCTCTGGAGGTCCCTTCCAACCCCTACGATTCTGTGATTCTGTGATTCTGTGAATTTAAGGTTATGAATATGAACCATAGAAATGTAAGACAGATTAGTTAAATAAAAGGCTGGGAATAAGGTCCTTTATGCCATAGATATTTTGGTTAAATAAAAAAAAAAGTTGTTTTTTTTTTTACTTTTTTTTTCCTTCCGTTTTCCTCTTCATGTCTATGTGAAGTTACCTGTCCTTGTCATAATGCAGAACTTGGAATCCTCTTACTGTACAGAAGGTCATCAGATACAAAATGCGCCCTCTAAAACACTCCTCTCTCAGTAGGGAGAAGCAAAGTGTAATGCAATTACAACAACTATCTGCAGTGTTTATGTACAGTTATATTGAGTAGAGCATACTTTTAATTTCATTGTAAGGTCAGATACACAAGGAGGATTACTTCTGTCTCTGAGACAGCAGTAATCAACGGCTGGCAGCTCAGCTTTAGAAATTTGGAACAGATTAGAAGATCTTGGCAGTGGATCTCAAATGCTCAGGAGACTCACTGCAACCAACAGCTTTGACATTCTGGACAAGTTAAATATTATTTGCTATAAACATTACAAGGCAATTGATCACCCCTTAAATACTGGGCCCAGGGTGCATGCTTCCTGCCTTCTGTTTTGGGAACAAGGGCAGCCCATAAACCAAGGAGCTACTTGATGATATTCCATCAACAACTTTTTAGATTAGAGCAAAGAAGAGGAATTATTTGCATGTTAACCACAACAGTGAGTAACGCAGAAGGAAAGCAAGGGCTTATGTAGGATTTTGCAACCACGCATGAATGAGAGCATCCATGGTCATGATTGAAGGACTATGTTTGCTTGCAACTCTGGTTTAGTGGTTTAGCAACCGGTATGGCTGCTAATAATAATTAACTGTAATTAATGTAAAACTTTTATATGATATATTAACTGGCAGCAATTAGTAGTCATTGCAAAGAAGGCAGATAAAAGAGGAGAAGGTAATTTTAGGCATCCTACTCCTTGCTGGGCTTGTCAGTGTACTTTTTTTCCACTTTTCCTTTAGCAGAGCTTCATCCATTGCCTTTCCTAAGCTCTTTCAGGTATTAAAAGACCCAGAGAAATCAATAGGAGTATGCCACACATCTCATTGGACAGTATTGTCATTCAGGTGTTCGGATTGTGGTTTCCAAAGTGTGACAGCATGTTTATCACACTTGGGCTGGTGAGACTAAATGTAACCATTATGTAGGCTTTACTAAGCAAGAGGAGTTCACCCTTCAGCTGGGAAAGTAGCTGATTCTCAGCTAATAAAGTGCTGTGAAATATTTGGCTGAATGCGGCCACCATCTGAGAACAGATGGTTCTCTGTGTAAAAGACACACTGCATAGCTATAGAGTAGAGAACTCAAGGTTTCTTTCTGTCTTCAAACTAAGTTTCAGAAGACTTGCACAGGCACACAGCAGTCTGTTCGATTTTTAGGAGTGGATGGACTGGACCTCTTCTTTGTCTGGGCCAGATTTCCAAGATTTACCAAGAGTAAGATCTTGTAAGGGTGCATGGAAATGTGGCAAAGGCATTTGTTATCCAGCTGGGCAAACAGCTTCGTAAGAAACATGTTGCTCTTGGAGGATATATTTAGGATGGATGTAGTTCCTGTAGGCGACTGTCTTCCATTTATTAACTGCTTACTTTCAGCTGTTGGACACAGTTTATGGATTACATCTAGGAAGGAAGTTACATCTAAGGAATTAAAAACAGAAAACATAGTGCAGGCAATGAGAGTTAGAAGATTGAGGCAGCACATGTGAAGCAATGAAATATTCATATGTAAAGGTAAATTTTCAGAATGACTAGGGAACCTCTGAGGGGCTGAGCTTCTGTTTTAAGATACGTGGTGAAGGTAGAAGAAGAAATTGAAACAAACAGTGCAGAAAAAGCTTTTGGCCTCTGTGTAGCAGTTTAATTTTGGTCACATCTGCCTTGATACCATCGAAGTTGGTTACTGCTTCCTACTGCTTTCTAGCTGTTGGATTTGGGTGGGATGGGCCTTTCTAAAAGTGGAAATCTTGTTTCAGCCAGCTTCAGCACAGCATCAGATGTTTCAAGATGTGCGATTTGCACCAGCACTAGGGAAAGGAAATGAATCCACAATTTGGAGAGAAACACAGTAATCTGTCATGTGAAACCATTTGAAATGAAGCCAAGCACTTCCCCTTAGTTAACTGTGTCTCAGCAGTTTTCTCTGATAAAATAATTAATAGTCAGATTGGTGGGTGTTGCCCACCCATCCTTCATTCTTGTTTTTGGTTTGCGTTGTTTATGACATTGCTTCAAAAGCAATGCTCTAATATCTGAGGCAAGTTGGTGTCTTCATTCTGACTAATGTTCTCTGTTAACAAGTTCCCTTTCCTTCACTGTATATGATCATAAAGTGCCTGCAGTGTGGAGCTTTTGCAGGATCACCAAAGGGTTGAGATGAGAAGGGACCAGTGGACTCACCTGGTCTAATCTCTGCTCAAGTCAAGACACCCAGAGCAGGGTGCCCAGGACCATGTCTCCCTTACAAGAGATGTTCCGGTTTCTTTATCACTTCTTGGTCATCTTTATCATCTTGTTGGACTCCTTCCATCTTTCTCTTGTACTGATGAGCCCAGAAATGGACATACCAGTCTCTCTCCATTTGGAGATTCATTCACGTTGAACATGCTGAGTATTGAAACAAAATAGCTGCAAGGCAGAAGGGAAGGAGGGGACAGGAAGAACTTAGCACATAATAATGTTCACAAGGACAACCATATGGCCAGACTGTCCCTTCTCTCACTATGACAGCACTGAGGGAAGCAACAGGACACAGTCAGTGGCTTCACACATGGTCAGAAGAGCAGCTTTGAGGCCCAGCAGGGTAGTCGCAAGGTCTGAAAATCTCTCTGCAGTGTGTCCAGTGGGCAGCTAGACCCTGCGGCTTGTACACGTCACCTGTGTCGAGCTGGCAGAAGTCAGGATGTGCATCTGCACTCTTGGCTCCTTAGGACATCACAGCTTTGTCATGCTGTTACAAGTGTGTTTTGTATGTGTGTGTGTGCCTGTCCCCAACATGACAGGAGCATTAGCCCAGAAGAGCCATGTTCTTGCTGACAAGAGCACACAACCCGCAGAAAGAGCAGGATTTACAATCCTGTAACGAGATGCTGTAGCTCAGCTGCTCAGGGAGACAGCCAAGTGGTGATTGACCCTCTCCCCACCAGCCTCCTGAAACAATAGTTTTCTCACTACAGAGCAGAAGAGCTTTTTCTGAAAGCTGCATTGTCCTGCCAGAAGTTGAATCCTTTTCTAGTTATGCTATTGAGCAATTGACTTGAGAACCTGATAGCACGAACCAGCTTCTGCACCTATATACTGGCTTCTGGGACCTCTTCCCAGACTCAACTTTGATCTCAATTCCTCTACTTCCTCCTTTCCCCAGGCAGCACAGGAAAATTGGGAATGGGGTTTGTACACTACTGGGGAATCTCTGCTTTGGTGTCCAGGAACCCAATGGAAACTAGAAACCTTGCTGTGATACTGAACAAGACTTGAAACAAAATCACAGAAGATGAACATATGTTTTCTTTTCCTTTTCTTGTCAACCACAGGTAATGCAGGTAGTGAAAGAACAGATAATGAGAGCACTCACTACCAAGCCTAGCTCACTGGATCAGTTCAAGAGTAAGCTTCAGAATCTCAGTTACACAGAAATACTGAAAATACGCCAGTCTGAAAGAATGAACCAGGAAGATTTCCAGTCTCGTCCAATTCTGTAAGTACTGTCTTCTCTCCTAACCCATGTTTGCATCAGAGGATTAATAAATGTGGTTGACATTTATGAGCTCTTCAGGGGGAACCTGAGGAAGTAGGCTGCCCAGGGAGCTGTGCTCAGAAACAGTAGTACAGCATCTGCTTGAAGTGTGTTTGATTTCTTCTGCTGGGAATCTCAACTTTTTCATTGAATTCAGTTAAATCAGATTCACCAAATTCCTACAAGGTCTCACATGGCTCATTTGTGTGAAACAGTGCTCTGACATTTCCTGTCTTTGTATGCTTGTGCATATAAATTGTTTTCATTGTCAGTGTTGGCTTTTCTGTTCCATTTTTTTTAAACTTTGTCTTCTGTCCAAGGGACAAAAATTGCAAATGCTACTTCTCTGAGCCAGACAAGTTCAGAATGAGAGTCAATACATAGTGGCTCCAGAAAAGAGTGGGATTATGTATTACTATCTTTCTTCAGGGCATTATCTTTGGTGTTAATGAAAAGCTATTATTTATTTGTAAATGATAACACTGTGGTAGCATAACAATGGGATTCTCATTTCCACGTTGTTTACTGCAAAGAATCAAATGCTAATCACCATCACAGCTCCTGCCTGCTGCTCAGAACACCCTTTGTTCTGTTACATGAGAAATGGAGGCCGTGCTTGGCTCTGGACCAGGGCTCATGGCTGAGCTAATGGCACAGGACAAGTTCAGACTCCATGGTGCACAAAGGGATAGCAGGAACCTTTTGAGGTCAGCGGAGAAATGGTGAGGATTCCAGAAATGTCAGTAGAAATGTCATGAAATCTTGATTATGTTTGAAGCATATTGGCTTGTAATTTTCCAAATCTTCATCACAAAGCAAAGCTATAGGGAAGGATTTGGACCAGGACATTTCAGAATTCTGATGGTAGATGCTCGTTTTGATTTGTTTCTAAAGGGTATAGATACATCTAAGTATGAGCTCTGGAGATGTCTTTATCCAAGGGCAGCAGGGCAACAGAGGAAGCATAAGCTAAATAGACTACACTTTAATCATACCATTGTGGATCAAAGGGGAAATGCTTCTTTTATGTTTTCAGTGTTTTAGAAGATAGGACCTAATGCCCAATTATAACTGATGTCACTCAGTGCATCAATTAAGCAGTTACAAATGGTTCCAGTCACTTTTGCATCATTACACTGCTCAAAATCCCCTGCCAATCCTGTGCAGTGCTCAGTGGATCAGAGCTGCTCAGTACTGCTAAGCTTGTCACCAAAGCTGCTCATTTTCCTTGCTTCTGCTGTGAGTCAACTGTTTAGCTATGATACAGGTCAACTAACTGTATTCTCTTGCAGCCTTGCATAGCCTCATGAAACTGGCCAGTTGCCCTCTGCAAGCTCTTTATGTCCAGCATGGCTCTAGCTAGTTGCTGCCCTGGTTTGGAATTTCCTTCCCCCAGGTGACATGAAGGAAACAGTTAACACAGGTAGTGAAAGGAAACTAAAATGTTACCAGACTTATTTCAGATTCAGGACAAAGGCTAAGCCTAAAGGCTATAAAGGCTGAGTAAATTGATAAGGTATTTCAGCAATCACAACTGCATTTGCAGAGATTTGACTCTATGAATTTGCATTTCGATTGCATCCACGATCACTCATTCTTGACAGTGAAAAGAAATGGTTCTTTCATTTTCCCCTTTGATTTGATTCTATGTACTGAACTCCCTCAAATTGCATAGATGGCACAATTGATAGAAGTACAGAATCATGGTCCCATTGTAGGGAAAGAGACTGTGAGTGAAGAGAGCAATCGTGGCTCTACTGTATATTTTAAAGCTTTACAGATATGCTAAAAGAGATTGTGCACAGCTGAATTTAAAGTCAGTGGGCCTTGTTTAATTCTGTGTGAGCATATGGCAGTCGGATGATGGTTTTTCCTGTCTTTAACATGACAGAAATCTTTCTTTTGCTGTTCTTTGTATAAGTACTGATGGTTTGAGTTTTTTAACTTCTCTGCCAGATCAGAGAAGTTTCAGTTAAGTTGGACTCAGTGTAAGTTGGAAAGCATTGCCTTAGATCCCTGTAACTACAGCAACCTTGTTTTGTAAGTAATTGTTTCTTCTGTAAGAGCATTGTTGTATTGTGCACCAGAGTTTCTTCAGATGGGGGAAAATATGAAATTTTTCAGAACAGAATGCATGCAAGAGCTTGGGATCACTACTGATCATCCAAACAGCCATTCCACAGGGCTGTAAAATGTTACTGGTTCATTTTGAATGGCTGTGAAAGAGGGTGTGTTCTGAATCCTGAGATCATCTTGCAGCATTAAATGCAGCAGGGATGGGGTAATAATGGATAAAATTGTGATGTCCATGGCGGAGGCTTGATGGTTAAAGGAGAGTTCCTGTCAGTTAGAGAGACACTGCTAGGCAATATCTGAGTGAAAATCAGCACGTACTGGGAAATAGAGGGAAGAAGGCAAGTGGATGCTTTTTGGCTTTTTATCTTGACAGATTTCTCTGCAGTGTTAAAGATTCACTAATGCCTGCTCTGAATGCATGAAGTGATTAGAAGAGTACATAGCTACCCACCAGAAAGACAAAAGGACAAAACCCATGAAAGCAGTCCTGGGATTAGTCTTCCATTACGTTTTAATGATTTAAATGACTACAGCATGCCCGATCCTGGAAGGAGAACAGCTGACAAGAAAGAGTCTTAGTTATAAGCAGAAAAAGCAGAAGATAGGGGCAGGTAGAACTGGTGCTGAATTAAAGCTAGAATCATCTGTATAATTAAAAAAAAGAAAAAGAAAAAGAAAAATTCAGTAACATTCAGATTTGCAGATAATCCAAGTCTGTTATTTTAAAAATATGTAACTGATGTCAGCAGCCTATAGTGCTGAGACCAGTGAGATCAGAAAATCAGCGCTCGTATATTACTCCATAGTTCCATCAGCCCTTCTGTCATGTCAGCCCACTGACTTTTGTCATTCTTACATCACAGGAACACAGTAGGAAGCTAACAGCAATTTTTAAAGCTACTGTCTCCTTCAGCTTTCCTAGTTTGTTCTTGCTCTTCACAAGGCACAGACTGTTCAGCTGATGTCATCTAAAGGAGCATAAATAATTTTTCCAAAAATATATTTGCATTTACGATCTTCCTTCAACTCTTTGTTCCTCTGTGTTATGAAGCATGGGGACTGTAAAACTGAAGGAGGTACTACCTCTCAGCTTCACAGTCCTGAAGGCAAATTATGCACATGTGTAGAGGGGCTCTGGCACATCAGCAAGAAGGCAGAAGGCTCCCCTACCTCCCTTTCTCATCCAGGAAATCTTAGACACTGAGGTACTATAGAGGGGATTGCTTCTTCCTTTTTGAATTGCTTAAAAATGTTCCTCCACTTTGTAAAGGGAAAATGGGACTTCAGAAGACATAAGAGGGAATACTATGAGTAACTAGTCAGGTATTAATGTGCTAGATGACCCAGTAGTTTTTGAATTTTTTTTTCCATACTGTCTTAGAAACCTAATGTTAGGCTATCTTTAGCATGTCTTTAATGATAATAATCTGTTTTCTAAATTAAACCACCGAAACATCACACAGATGTTTATATCAATTTTGAATGCTTGGAATTAGTCTGGCTGTGTCTTGGACTGTACCTTGGACTGCTCAGTCATTGCCCTATGGTTTAGCACTACTTTTCTATGTCCCTGTTCCCAGCTCTTACCTGAGGAATGGGGAAGCTCATCAGCTCAGAAAGGGAAGACATCTGTTCAGTCACAGAATTCTTCTAATCACAGAATGTAACCATTCAGCACATTCCTACCACAGTTCCCAATAAGAAAACAACATTTGAAAATTATCCTGAAGGACTAATTGTATGTTCCTGAGAGGTGGCCTGTTTCTATAGTTACAATGCTTACTTGATTTTTTGACCAGCTAGATTTTCACAGCTTGTAAATATGCATCAGGTACTCCAACCATTTTGTTAATACCTGTGAGAATTAGGACATTTCTGTTTAAAAGCCTTCATCTCTCTAAGAGAATTTCCAGTGGTTTCAGTGGGGTGTTGGCACATCAGAGTTGCCAGATGCACATGAATGTGGAAATCAGCAGAGGCTAAAGTCCCTAAGTGTTTAAGAAGTGGACAGTTTTATTTTATCCATGGAATAGCACAGTTTTGTTTTCTTTTGATGATGATCACTGGAACATACTGCCACACAAAATGAGTTTTGGTGTTACCTAATGCAATGTACAGCAATGTGGAATTATGGTTCTGACATGCTTCATATTTTATAAACCATCTTCGCATTTAGTTATTTTTTAAATCTTACTAGGCTTACTGTCAAGTTAATGTTTCAACCTGTCTTTTATATATTCTTAATGAATCTTAGTGAGGATATAACTGATTACTTCAGACATCTCTGAGTCCATGTGATGATATATGAAATCCAATTTTAAATATTACATGCATACATTTTACACCTTGTTCTTGACACGTTGATTGCTTTTATCAAAGCAGAATGTAGAAAATGGGTTTTCTCAGGAGTATATAATAATGCTATTAAATGCACTGCTGTTTTTTTTTGCACTGCTGGGCAGAGGTAAAGCTTGATCCTCGAGCAGTCCCCATCATGGGTTACTTTTCCACCAAATTCTGTCAATAATGAATTAGTTGTATGGCGTAAGTTCAATACCAAGAATACAAAGCTGGTCATTGTTTTGCCTCATTAGCATTGTTCACTGTTGTTTGTTTGTTTTTTTTATTCAAAGTGTGTTTTAGCCTCCTTGTGTTGTCCTAAATGATAATGCTAGTAAAGTACGCTAGCAGAGCATCGTACAAGAAAAGGTGAGAGACCCTTAAATAAGCTTCCCAGTGTTCCTGTGATGAAAGAGCATTATTTGCTGCAGAGAAGGCTTGTCAGTGCATTATAGCAAGTGTTATTTTTAGCTGCATAAGCTAAGAAACAAGTAAGTTCCCTGAGTCATATGCTGATGCTATAGCAGGGAGATGTCTAGAACAGAGAAAGCCTGACTCCCATGCCCTTTTATAAGAAAACAGTCTCATTCTGAAGCAGGTTAAATTCTGACCTGGGCATGCTTCTGAGTTGTCTCCTCTTTGGACATGAACATCTTGTGAGACTCTTCGTTTCAGAGAGAAGGGGGCAGGTTTTGATTGAATCTCATAAGTGCCTTCTTTATTCCTTCCCAAGGGAACTGAAAGAGAAGATTCAGCCTGAGATCTTAGAACTGATCAAGCAGCAACGTCTTAATCGACTTGTGGAGGGCACCTGCTTTAGGAAACTGAACAGTCGACGTCGGCAAGGTACAGCTCAGACTGCCTGGTCTGGCTTTTTACTGTCACTTTTGTCTAAAAGTTGAGAGGATGAGTACCGCTCCTACTGGCAAGATCCTTGGTTTTATTGCTGTCCTGACTGACTGCTTTTACCAGGGGGCATCTGAAAGCATCTCCTAGTTACAATTGTAGGATTTACTGTTTCACTGGAACTGGTTTGGGCTTCATCTGGAATTCAAGTCCAGCATTTGATGAAAATCTCAAACAGCAGTCTTGCACCCTGAACTAAGTATTTTCATTTCTGTCTGATGTCCAGACTTCTTGTCCTCTCTGAACAAAATCTAACCACTATTACTAATCAAACAGCAGATGTCCAAAATGTGTATATGAACTCATTTTGCACCCTTCCCTCTAGTACTGCCTGTCCTTAATGTTTGTTGTGTATTGCCATATACATTAAATATATTATAGTCTTTAAATATGCTTTTAAAAACCACTTAGATCAGTAATTTGTGTACACTTAGATGAATAATGATTGACGTGAGAAGATTATTTTCCCAAACCTATGAGTCATTGCTCAGTACTAGATTTACTGCTCATTTTAATACAGTCAAATCTTTATGGTTCTTTTTCCCCTCAGAGAGGAATACTTCTTTCTCAAAACAAAATAATGGGAACATAATGTAAATTCAATAGATTAATGTGAGGTTGTATCAAAAAAATTCCCTTTAGAACCTCTATTTTGTGGGGATAAAGGTTGCTGTTTCCTTCCCCACTGCAAATGCAATGCGAAATAGAAAGTTACTTACTGCAGAAGATCAATATTTGCAACATTCAAATTAATTGTGGAGAACTGCTTTCCTCACAGAAGGAATAATCCCTGCAGTGCCTTAGTCCTAAGAAATAAGCAGGCAAATTTCCTTAATGTGCAGTGGTTATTTTGGAAATTTTTAAGCCTTTATCAAAGAGTGGAGTCACAGAAAATTATGATGCAGCTTTATACCTTCTCTGACAAGGCTGCAAGCCTCTATAAAGCTCTTTGCACAGAGTTTAGGGAAAGAGCATGAATATTCCACTGCAGCTTCTGTATAGATTTCATAGGGTGGCATATTTCCCCCGTAGGAGCATCTTCATGGGGTAAAAGTACCTAAAGTAATATGTAGTATTGTTCAGCTATCAGTAGTGAGGGGTTTTTATTTTATTCCTTTCAGACCCTTAATCCAAATGACTAAAATTCTAGAGAAGGTGCAGAGTCTTTGGCAAACGTATTTGTTTTAGCACATCCCCAAGTTGAAACTAGACTATTTTATTGTTGTCAGTCCATGATTCATAGGATCAAAAACATTGGAGTGTATAAACTGGTTCGGCTTATTTGAGTGGACTTGAAGTTAAAGGAAAATAAAACGAAAAAGAAAAAAATCAACTTGATCTTCTGGTCCACAGTTAAGACTGCTGTGCATTATGCCTTGGAGTGAACTGTATGGGGCATCATATTAATTTCTTTGATGTCATATTTATTTTAGGGCTGAAAGGGTTTGTGACTCTTTGGGAACAATGAAAATGTGTAGTCGTGCCTTGAACTTGTGTATTTTCTCAGAAACATACAGTTGAGCTTTTTTTTGTCAGATTCGCATGCCCATTTAGAAGGACATAATTCCACATGCCTTAAAGTTGTGCATGCTTTATGCTTGACTTCCTGTATTCTATATTCCCTGAAGCAAAAGTGTAAGGTATTGCCTGGGAGAAGGGAGGAAGAAAACACGACAGCCATTACTGTGCAGTCTAACGAACAAGCAAAGAATATTAAATATAAACATGTTTGGCTTAGAAGTCATTTAATTGTGAACAGTCCATTTTTACATATGTACAATGCTTGGCATTGTCTGAAAGAGCAAATAATGACAGCTGGCATAAAGTCAAATAAGCTATTCTGAAATTGACTTTTGTCCCTTTGTGTTTCCTGTACCTCAAGCAGAGCGAGCTGTCAGACCAGCCCTCATGATGTCAGGAGCTAAAACATGACCAAAAGAGAACGGAAAGCCAGAGGTTTAGCAAATGATGCTAAACATCAGGGCAGTCCAATTTTTGTATAATGTTCCTGAGTATTATGATAAAAAAATGACAGAAAACATAAATTCCTGAGTATGTCTTCTCTTAGCTTTACCCTGGCTCCTCATCTCATGTCCCCAGCCAGCCCTTCAGTATCTGTGCCCTCTGCTTGCTCAGGGGTCAGCAGGAGCCCCAGCACCTGCATTCTGCTCCAGCTCTTGCTATGGAGTATGGCCGTGCACCATCCAGTTTGATAAAACACAAGTGGGAAACACAGGAAGGCATCATGGTTTGCCTATTATGTAGCAAATTCCTTGTCTTCATGGTAAGATCAGGTAGTTGTTTTACTTCAGCATGTGTACTTGCTTCTTTTACCATTCCTCTGATTTTTTTTATTTTTTTTTTTTACTGTGAGACTGTCCTGGTACAAATTTTGCAAGTCTACAGATTACACAAGAGGAACGTGAACATGTACTGCACAGGAGAAGCTGAAAGCATTAAATTGCCTATTTAAAAAATAATTAACTGGCATTATTCCATGATAAAGACTGCAGAGCAAACTTCCATTTAGACTGTTGTTTGAACATGTGGTAGGACACACATGGTTAGTCACATTAAGTTGAGACAATTGACTTACAAAAAAGAAACAAGCAGGGAACTTACAGCCTCTTATGGCCTTTTGAGAAGAGATGAAAAGACTTTCATACATACTTGGTGCTGGAAAACCACAGTCCAACAGGTCATTCTTTGTGGGGAGTGAGGCTGAAGGTTAAGCAGTGTGGTGTATGTAGTCTCTGCCTTTTGCATTTCAGAGCAGGATTATCATTCAGCAGGGTTTCTCTGTAGTTGAAATTCAGAAATACCACTGTTGTCCCAGCAGGATCCTTGCCACTTTCAAAGAGTACACAGCCTTTGCCTTGCAGTGTTTCACAGACAAACTGCAGCACTAACTCCTGTTTTTATTAGGCATTCTTAATCAATAGGAAATGAAATAGTAAAATCCAGTCTTCCCTTCTGGTCACTGTTCAGTAGCATTTTGTGAAGCTCTGCGAATTCCCACTTTGTTCTTTGGCTGTGGACGTCAGCTGACAGACAGCCCTCTTTAGCTTTCTCCTTCCTGTGGTAATTCCTAAAAGAAAAGATGAAGACTAAAGCAAAAGCCTACAAAGCTCTTTATAACCCCAAAAGTTATTTTTTCCCAGTAGAGCTAAGTAGCAGATAAAGGCATTTTATTGATGATAATAGACACTTCCGTGGCTGTCATCCAGTATATTTGTAGTGAATGTCACTGGATGCACTCTTGGAAATAAATTCCCCTTTTAGCTTTATAAAGATTATAGAGAAATTGCATGCTATTGAAGTGGTTTTGCAGTTGAAGACAAGATTTCTTGGATAGATTTTATTTGGAAGGGAAAACAAGCCTGATGATACACACCATTATACTAAAAACACAAGGCAGCATATTTTTTAAGTAACCTGCAAAGAGAAAATGTAAAGTAAAAAATCAAGCAAAGACAAGGTTTCCATGTCATTAGGATAAGTGACTCCCAATTCTGAACTTGAACATTTTGTCTTTTTTTCTGCAAAAGGATTCTGCTTCTACTTTGGTCCATGCTCTGGAAGCCCATAAAAAATAATATCCTCTGAGCATGTGATTTGCTGAGAGAAAATGGTTAACCAAACCTGCCTCCAGCATTGCCACAAGCTAATTAATAGCCAATCATTTTCAATGCTTGCTGGTTTTTGTCTAACCAATTAAGACCAGTTAGAGTGACAGCGTGTCACTGTGGTATCTGAAAGAAACACAGCACAGTGAAAGAGGCTGAGTCCACGCATGTATTTAAAATCTGCGTGCAAATATGTGTTCTTTTACTGACATTAAAACATGTTCCTTTCACTAAATCTGTGAACAGCCTTCATCTGGAAAAAAAAAAAAAAGCAAGAAAAAAAAAGCTTGTTTTTTTTGTAAACTGGAACGTATTCTGGGAGAAAATGTATACTCTCAGACATTTTTCCATTAATATCTGAGCTATTTCCTCCAGACTCCAACACAGAGCACTTCTGCACTAATCACAGCAATTCTTCACTTGGGGTAGCATTGTTAAGGGCATATGAGTCACTGGCTATTAATGCACTTGGAAACACCGTATGAATGGTCAGGCACTCTGCAGCCCATCAGCACAGTGCTCTGTGCTCTACTATTTGGTCACAGTTTTGAATATTACTCTTCCAGCCAAATTTGTGGTTGGTTTTGTTATTAGGGTTTTTTTTTTTTTCTTTAACCTTGTTTGTAGTCTTTAACAATGTGCCATGATGTATTTAACCCACTGACTGCTCTAGCAATTGTTTGAAAATCAAAAAAAAAAAAATCAAGAACTTGTTAAAAAGAAAAGAATAGCAGAAAGAATAATTGTTTCCCAAAGAAGGATCCCTAGCATTTAAATTTGATGGCGTCAAAGGTCAGCTACTAAACAGAAAACTCAGTGACAAGTTTAAATAATAGCTCCTGAACATTGTGATGGAATCACAGGCCTTCCTTCAGGTGTAATAACACCTGGCACAAAGCAGGACTTGTGTCTCATAGAAGTGACTGAGGCTTCGTGGCAGCTCTGTGAGAATGCACCTATGTAAACCTGGCTCTGCTCTGAACTTCTGTCCTTCACTCCTTCCTGAGCTGGCAGCTGCCTGGGCTCCAGATATACCCAAGCACAGATCTGCCCACTGAAGGGGCACGGTCTGCCCTGTCTTCAAAGCCTCTCGTGGTATTTCAACTCCACAGACTTGTGTTTACGGGCTCTCTAGGTTTTGATAGGTACTTTTCTGTTGTTTTATAAGCATCGCTTCCTGATAATAGTGAGGAGAACGGAGTTGTCTTTTTTCTTTTGCTTAATTTTTCAATTTCATCTGTTTAGAGCTGAACATAAAAGCTCACCACTTCCCGCATCTTGTTGTGTAATTCAGGCTACTTCACCCTCCTTGTCAGTGGGAGCAATTTCATATAGTATTTATTTTGACTGCAGCGTTGCTTTATGCGCACTGCATCCAATGAGGCTGTGTTCAGCACCTGCACCACAGTAGAACAACATCATCCCGTTCAAAGCTGTTCCCCTTGTGCACGTATCTACACAGGATATTGTCTGGTAAACTAGAGGTAAAAAAGAAGCCCAGATAGCCAAGGCTGAGGTGGCTGCAGAGGCTTCTTGGTGCAGTGAGGCCTGCGCCCTACTGCCGATGTGCTGATCACCGGCTTGGCCTGGCTGCAGCTGAGGGAGCCTTGTTAGTTCCACGTATAGATTTCATTTAAGGGTTTTCCCCTTGACAACCTATCTGTGGTACAATGGCAGTTATTGGGGAACCCACAGGAGAATCACAGCGGACGTGCTTCAAGCTGCAGTCTACGGCTATTAGTTCTTTAATTAACCTTGGGTTATGGGGAGCTGCTGGAAAGGGCTCCATATGCCTCTAGAGATAGGTAGGTAGGGTTTCTTCAGATAAAACCACCCCTTCCTAAAAATGAAGTACAGAAATTGTCACTGAGCATTTTTCCCCTTTTATTATTGGAGCAGGGGACTGAAATGGGAACGAGGTTACCAGAATCTTCTCACTCATAGGAGGTTAAGGAAAGAACCTTTTCAAACCCTCAGTAAAAACTGCAGCCCTGTTTGTGCTAAGCTGAAAGGAGTTCGTGGCATATATATTTATTTTTCAGTTGCAACATCTTGGCTGAGCTACTGACAAAGGAGTGAGACTGTGTTGGTTTTTATTAGGACAAAAATGGTAGCTGTAATCTTGGTATCTGTATGGTGTATTCTTTTGAATTCTTTTGAGACTGAAGTGAAAGGTAGGCAGAAGAACCTTCTCTACACAGCAGGGTCTTTTCTTTGGGTATACAAGGGGCAAGTTACTCTACCATCAGTTCCAACAGGATGTATTTTTTAAAGCTTCAGGTTGTGATATGTTTCTGGTAGGGTTCCCTGTGAAAGGTCTGAATCTATAAAAGTTTCGTGCACATCCTTCAGAGATGCACAAACTGCTCCGATGAATTGGCTTTGTGTGTGTTCTTCAGGTGAGAGTCTACTGAGTGAGGGTTCCTGCTCTCTCATTTCATAAGCTTTGTAAGTGGATTTTCCTCTTGACTCTATACTGTAATATCATATATTCTACTTACAGTTCAGCATCTCTTTCTTTGTATCACAATATCTCTTCATCAAGGGCTCTCCTACCCCTAAACTTTTTAGTATTCTTTATGTCTATGAAGCAAATAATCAAAATCTTCGCCATCACTGTTTTGTCCCTTTTGTAAGTGTTTTATCACATCTTTTGAAACCTTTCAGAAGGAGCATGTGCTCAGAAAATGGTTTGAAATGAGTGGTTTATTTTCCCCAAACAGTTTTACCAACCATGACAAATAAATTTAAAGAAACGTGTGCAAGTCCTCTTTTGCCATTCAAAACTGAATTGCCTTTCTCTGCCTCACATTGCACTGCATTTGAAATCACTGGCCAAAAGACTTTAAGAGTCCTTTCAAAAACTTTGGGTCCATGAAGCCAGCACTCTCCTAAAGGAATCCTTCCTTTGCTGACATCCAGATGAGTACACGCAGGCTGTCTCTGGTGACTGCCCAGCTCCCCCAGCCCTTTATCCCAGCTGGATGTAGATCTAATAAATAATTTTAAGAGAAGTTATATCCTGAGAAGTCAGAGACATAAAATATGTATGTCCTAGCAAGGGATAAAATGCAAAGAGGAGTGTGATATGTATACTTTTGAGGGCACACCAACCACTAAGTCATCTACAAGACAAGGGTGTTAATGTTTGTTTTTTAAATCTTTGCATGTTTGTTGTTCCCAGTCTCTCTATAAATACAGTCTTCTATTGTGTAAAAAGCTATGAGTCAAAATTTTCGTGTTATGGGATATTTCAAATATATCAGGCGTAGGGTGCCCAAATTTGGCTTAATTTTCACAAAACATGCAAAACATGAAGCTTTTGTGGGTACGTTAAAGTTAGCCACTCAATGCAGTGGTTACTTAGTTTTTGTCCACGAGTTGTTTCTTGCTAATGTTTATCTTAGGAACCAGTGGTTAAATCAAGACAGAAGTGGTAAATGCCAATTTTGTTCAGCCAAGTGAAATTACTGAGCAAAGTCCCTGCCCTACTTTCCTACACCCCCAAACATTTCTTCTAAAAACAAAAGGACAGTCCTTCCCTTAGTGCCTCGTTGATAATGCAGGTGAAAACACGTCACTGACCTTGTTTAATGCATTTATTTTGACAGACAAATTTTGGTATTGTCGACTTTCACCTAATCACAAGGTCTTGCACTACGGAGACTTGGAAGAAAGTCCCCAGGGAGAAGTACCCCATGATTCCTTGCAGGATAAATGTAAGTTATGCACAAGGATTGTGCTGCTTTTGCTTCTTTCAAGCTAGTTCCTCTTTATAACATGTAGTGGTTTTTTTCTTAATACAGGACATTATCAGCAGCTCTTTTATGGAGATAGAGAGCAGAGAACATTTCCTCATGCCTTCAAATACTGCTGTCCTAGTTTTGGCAAGTGTATATGAGGACTGAGCTCAGCTTTCCAATGAGCTTGTAATTTCATTCAATTTGGAAATGTCATGCATTTCATGGAGAGGAACACAGTTTATTTTCATTCCTCGTCTAACTGCAGATGTCACATTAAAATAGTTTGGCATATTCAGAAGCGCATCCTGTCCATGGAGACAGCTGTTTCTTCTGTTGCAAACAATCTAGTGACTGGCTGAAAAATTAGAGGTCTTTTTCATTATCATAGCAAGTGGGTTTAAAGACAGCACCTTGCTTTGAACACTGTTAAAAAGACTCCGTGTTACTTTGTTGGAGGGGGCATGCCTTTGTGACAGCCTCTACCAGTAGATTTCTTGGGATGTTTTGTAGGAACTAAAGTCATTTTGGAGCCCTTCAGAAAATCATGCTCTCTCGAGAATTTATCCTTGGTCCTTCAACATAACTTACAGAGGTTTAACCTGGAGTTCTGGGAAAGTATTTTTGATGTCTGAGATGATGACTGGTATAGTTCCATCACCAGAAAATGATAACAAAAAAATAAGTATTGAATAAGGAATCATTGCTTTTTATTTCTGTCTGAACTGCCATAAGTAATAAATGCCATTCTTGTCATCATCAAATCAGACCAGCTTGTACAAGAATTCAGGTTGGTAGTTCCATTTCTACCATGGAATAACAAAAAGAATAATTTTTGTAGATGTTAGAAGTTTCTTCAGCCTGAAAATTGAGAAAGAAGAAAATCAGTGATTTAAACTTTCCTTTGTATTGGTAAAACAAAGACCTGTTTCTCTTTTCTGATCCCCAACCTATCTGCAGGCAGCACCTTTTAAAATTTTTAAGTGCTCCCAATCTCAGTCTGTGAGAGAAAGAAGAACCTGTCTGATGTTGAAGCCCTGTCACTTCATAGTCACATTCACTTCTTTTCAGTACCTTCAGGATGTTTCAGGCTCTTACTGCAGTCCTGGCAGAATGTAGGACAGGGTCTCCTATTGCTGCATTGGCACTGCAAGATGCTATTTTACTGGGCAAGGCTGAGAGAAATAGCTCTTGAAAGTTACAGTAGTGTCAGAATGACAGAAAGAGAGTGAAGGTCACACTTGAATTGCAGGCACAGTTACTAGACCAGCAGTTCTCAGATTTGTTTGCTTTGAGCATATTTCCAAAGTGAAAACCCCAACCCTGACTACAGACTTCACTTTACATTTGTGTTTCCTGCAGGCTCTTGAGCCTCTATGGGAATGCCATGATCATGTTGGGACAGCAGATTTAAAGGCTATGAAGAATGTAAGATTTATCATTGTGCCTCCCTGCTAGAGTTTGATAAAAGAGAGTTGGGAATATTACAAGATGTAAGATTATAAAGCATCATTATTATTCTAAGCATGTCAAGCCAATCTGGATTGAGAATTTGGCAGAACATTTTCCAAAAATACTCAGGTGTTCTTTGGATACACTCGTACTGAATTTTGGATTGCAAAGGTCTGAATATGATGTTTAAGATTGTCCTCCATGTGCAAAATACAATGGCTTGCATCTCTGGGGAAGGATACGCCTTTAGACCTCCTTATTCTTCTCACTTTTCCTGATCATTTTAGGTTGTTAGAATTTGTGAACAGATCAACAGATGAAAGAAAACAGGTGGATGAGAAGCTGGAGGGTTGAGAGAAATAACTGTTTTGTGTGCTTCTTGCCAAGCTTGAATAACTTGTGTCTATTTCCAAAAATAAATGTTTTTTACTTAGAACTTTCCACTTCTGTGGGTGTCATCTCTCTCTTCAGGCTGGCAGGGTTAAACAAACTGCAGATTCCAGCTGGGACAGAAAGCAGCTGTCCTCTTTTTCGGGGCTTTATTTGTTGTGAGCGTGCCACATCTGTGCTCACACCCTCCAGCATTTTGTAGTCAGCTTCTGATACCACTTCAAGTCTTCCAGGCTTTAATGTTATTATGCTGTTCTATACGTATGATGCTTTTCTGAGGCACAGTGGTAATGGATAATTTATAGATTGTAGAAACTTTCTGTCACTCACTGTCCATACTTTTGTGGAGTGTATGGATTCTCCATAATGTAATCATGATTTGAAAATTGAATTCCACTTGAAGCTTAGGGAAATGCATGTTTTAGTGACCTCGCTAGATTTACTCTGGGAATGTGTCTGGGTGACAGCAGCTTCCAAAACTTTTTCCTACCTTTTTTTTTTTTTTTTTTAATGATTTCTGATCATTTTTCTTTTTAAAGCAATTGGAATGGGTTATTATAAGCCTTGGTAGATCCTCATTCCTCTTAATACTTGAAACAACTAAAATGCTGATGGCAGTTAGATAAAGAAATATGTATTTGTAAAATGCATGTAGGCATTAACAGAAGGGCAGCAGCATTCGAGAGAGATCAAGGGACCAATTCACTCAGCATCCTCTGTTTAGCAGAGCCTTTACCCAGAGGCCCTGGAAAGAGTAACAGGACAGGCAGGCATATTACATTAGTAAGAGAGAAATCAGTATATGTTGTTAAGATATACAAATACACACAAAGCCTGTCCAAATGCAGATGCACATGTATATGAAATGCTCTTTCCCAGGGTAGCCTCAACAGGCAAGGAAAGACTCAGCTTTTTATCCACAGGTGTGAAATCTTGTCAAGAATTGCTATTGCTTCTTCTGGTTGTTTTATTACAGTTCTCTTTCTTAGAACAGGCTGGAAATGGCAAGGGGTGACAATTTTAACACATTAGTCTTGGCTCTTTTTAGACTAGCTTTTACGCATCTTGGTTTTAACTCATTTTCTGGTTTTGTTTGTTTGTTTTTGTTGTTGTTGCTTCTTGGATTTTTGCTTTAATGCAGTGCCAGTGGCAGATATAAAAGCTGTTGTGACTGGGAAAGACTGCCCTCACATGAAGGAGAAAGGAGCTCTTAAACAAAACAAGGTATGGCTCTCAAATTCATATGCATGCACACCCTGAGGAAAGCAAGTCTGGTCAACCCAACCTTCCCTGAAGAAATATTTTCCATTCCAACCTGACACCTTTCTGTGTATGCACACATACTTTGTTTTTACCTCAGACCATTTGAGTTGAATAGTTAGGACAACCTACTGTCCTTTACTCAGATTTCCTGACAGATGTTCATTGTCATATGCCCAGAGCACATTAGGATAGTCTTTAGTAGTGATGTCTTCCACTTCTAAAGCATAGCAGTTTTGACTGCTGCTGCAAAGCACAGCAGCAATGGCTTTTGGTACCCATTCTTCTATTGTCTCTGGTAAATAACTGCTTTGTTCCAGCTGTATTCTCTGATGAGTTCACATTCATTGAACACCAGCACATGCCAAAATTGCAATTAATGTCCGGCTGGTAATAACTTGAGGTCCATTCAGGTAGAAAAATAACTGCTAATAAATGGATGTAAGGTAGGTGCTAGGCAATTAATGAGGTGTATAAGGATGTATTCAGCAGTGCATTTGTGGAAAAAAAAAAAAAATAGGAGACAGTGGTCAGCCTAAATTAGATTTATGCTTCTCTGTCAGAATTTCAAATTGAGCTGACACTAAGACTCAAGTTGTTCAGAGCCAGAGACTTGCACAGTTTTTGTTAGTAAGCATTGCCACCACAGTAAGAAGAAATTGAGTTACTAGCAAACTCTGACACCCTTAGAGGTGAAGGTCTTCATCCATGTTGTATTATATATGTTCATGAAGTTTCAATCAGATTTAACTGTCTGATTTGACAAGAAGGAATCAGATCCCAGTGATGTTCAGTCTGACCCAGAACCACATCATGAGCTCTGGAAGCTGGGTCAGAATTTCAAGTACTGCAAGTGAGGATGTTTGGAACCAACAAGTGATTTTTATGGATAGAATTGTAAAGTTAAGAGTCCCTTCTTCAACACCTTAAGAGCAAAGTGCATACATTCAGCGTTCAAATAAATACTGGAGAAAAGTTGAGAGGAAAGCTATAGAAAACAAAAAGGCACTGTCAAAAGCATGTCACATGATCATTGCAGCTTCATAACTGACTTTTTTTTTTACCTTAACTATTGATGGAGATAGATAGATACACAGAGCATCTCAATTATTCTGTCTTTCTCACAAATGGAAAGTGGTTTATTAGGACACTGTCATCTCTTTTCAGCATTGAGTTTACATGGTGAGAAATAAAAAAAGTCAAGCCATATGAGAAAAAAAAAATCCCAAGAATATCTTTCCTTGTTGATTTTCTGAATCAGAGCAAAAACACACACACGTTCACAATAGATTACATAGAACTCCTACTTCGATTTACAACTGAACCATCAAGAGTATTTGGCTGGGACATTTCTATGATGCATATAAAGTATTTTTAGTGTTTCCTTGTCTTAGCTCTCATACATCCTCACAAAAAGGAAAGGTAGGAGCAATGAAAGCAGTGGGCGGCTGATGGAAATTTGTCATCTTTATGGAGCAGAAATGTCTCAATAGTATTTAATGCTAAATAGCAATGCTGCAGATCAGTTTGTCCTCAGCTTTCAGCATTGCTCCATTTCCTCAGTAAAATTGTTTTGGATTAGTGTAGAACTGTCTGAGGATGTGAAGATCAGGAGATGATAGCACAGCTCCATCCACAGCTGGAGCATTCAATTTCTGATCCAAGCAACAATGATAATTATGGGGTTTTTTTTACTATTTCTGATTGTTTTATTTTGTTTTGCTTGGTTGTTTTCTGCTTTATTTTGATTTATTTTCCTTTGGGAATCACAGTATTTGGGAATTCATTTGTCTTCCCAAACAAAACTGCACAATATTGCAACAACTTAATATTGCAGCATTGTAGGAATAACACATCATTGTTTACTGAGTACCAAACAGTGGACGGTGAGATGAAGAGGAAAAAGCCAAGCATAGAATGCAGTTTGTCTGAGTTCGGGGCATTAAATCTCTTGCTTCCTGAATTTTCACAATTGGTGATATATATTTTTTAAGAAGACTTTTCAAACCAGTGCATTTTTTTGTGTGTAGTGTGTGTGTGTGTATATGTATAAGGTGAACACATATATACGTATCAACCACTATAATGTTTATTCATTGCCCGAAAGGAAAATTGAATGGCGGAATGCCACTGCTGTGAGCATAGCTGGAATTGGCAGAATGTCCATAGCAAAGGCTTCAGCATCTCATAAATTGCCGGCACATGGCTGTTATTCTTCCAGTGGGGCCATTTAGAAATAAATAAGAGATAAACTGAGTTGGAATTTGCATGCTCATGAAGCTGGAACTACTTGATAGGACCATTGTTATTCATCTTACTTGTGTTTTTAAATTGTAGTTAAAAGTCCTCTTTCTGAACTCTTGAGTAATATTAATTAATTTCAAGGAAATTAAATGTTCTACATTTTGCAGCATTTAAAGCAAAGCATAAGAGAATGATTTGGATAAAATATTGCTGTGAATTTGTTATTCTATCAGCCTGTGTTTGCTGATGCAGTAGTCTTCAGGCTTCATGCCCATTTAGTCTGCAGAAATAATTCTGCTCACTTCCCTGTACTCCTGCAGCTTCCCTTTTATTTCATGTTGGTTGAAAAAGTGCCCTGTCACAGCATATATATATAGTTCTCTCAGGAGGAACTCCTGGGTCTGGCAAGTAACCTTTGTTAAGTTTACTCAGCCTTCACAAAGACACCAGTTTTGGTGACAGCATAGAGAGAGGTCATTCCAGATGCATGGGATCACTCAACCACAGACCCTTTAAATATCTGTTTATCTAAATAGCATTGCTCCAGTTGGCCAAGGTAGCAGGAGAGGGAGGAAAGTTTTTCCCCTTACAAGCAGCTAGGGAACTGCAAGTGTCTGAAACATGCAGGAGGGCAAGGAATCAACTCTTTGAAAGGGTAGATAACAGCAGGAGAAGGGGAAATGGTTTTAAGTTGAGGGAGGGGAGATTTAGGTTGGATGTCAGGGGGAAATTCTTTCCAGAGAGAGTGGTGAGGTGCTGGAACAGCTGCCCAGGGAGGTTGTGGATGCCCCGTCCCTGGAGGTGTTCAAGGCCAGGTTGGATGGGGCCCTGGGCAGCCTGGTCTGGTATTAAATGAGGAGGTTGGTGGCCCTGCCTGTGGCAGAGGGGTTGGAGATTCATGATCCTTGAGGTCCCTTCCAACCCTGGCCATTCTGTGATTCTGTGAGTTAGGAGTGCCAAGGTACTGAGTTCAGCAGGTTGAAGTGAGGGAGAAATAAGGCAAAACAAGAAAGGAACAGATTTGAAGGGATGGGAGAGAGTTAAAATCAGAGAGCAAGAGGAAGTGATGGAAAAGGCTGAAGTAGAAAATGCCTTTGAAAAGAGTTGAAAAGTAGAACAGAAGATGGCAGAGAAAATCACAGATGGCTAGTGGAGGCTACTGGTCCTCCTCCAGGAATTGCTGAATCCTCAAAATCCTCTGTCCTTGATAGAAGCAGACCAAAGCCAGGTGGGTGTCTGACAAGTCAGACAGACCAACTACTGAGACCTCCATCAATATGGAAGACCAGATGGCGACTCCAGCCTTAGGCTTCCACTCTTCTTGACTGTTTGCTGTGCATGAGATGGCAGAGATGCTGGAGCCTGGGAGCTGTAATTCCTGAGCTGTTGGTGTCTGGGACAGCAAACAAAGAAGCCAAACTAAAACCAGGGCTGCCAAACTTCTCCTTTGCACATAAAAGGAAGCTTGGTGCCTTAAATCTAGTCCTTCTATCTGCTTAGGAGTGTCTAAATCTGTGGCTTGCTTTCATGTTCCTCTCTCAGACATGGCTTTTCTCTCCTTTTCCTTTTTTGGGGGATGAATAAAATCTTCAATCCCTTGAAATTCTCCAGAGGACAAACGATGAGAAACCAGGCCAATAGAATTGTTGTTGACTTTCATGAACATCATAGGACAGCAGTACAAGCCCTTTGTCAGTGATATCTTTCATTTTCACAGGCTCAGCTGCATGATTTGGCATGTTCTGATGTCAGTAATTTATGACGCTGTGAGGAGATAATGCCAGCTTTGTGTGGGCAGCAGTAAATTTGTTTCCTTAATGAGGGATATCACTCTTAATAAGGTGTGGCTTAGAGACATGCCTAGCACACAGAAAGACTATGTGAGCCATGAGCAATTTGTTTGCTTACCGTACCAACAGTAGGAGTAGCTGCAGCTTTCTTGGAGATTTAGCAGAGACTTGTCTCCTGTGGCTTGGCAATACTGCAAATTGGACCTAATAACTATACTCAGGGAAATCAGCAGCATTTCCCATGAGATCCTGATCTCTGATCAGCCAAGATTATCCTTAATGATTACAAGTTTCTATGGTTCAGACTCCGCTCTTAATCACACAAACTCAAAAATAAAGTAACCCTTACTGAGATCCAAGGATCTGTGCATGTGTTGGACCAGGAGATGATGGTGGGAGTCTAGACCAGCACACATGCTGCAGTCCCTGCAGTCAACTCCGATTTTAAAACTGAGTGTAGCAAATTTAAGAAGCGGTGCTGTTATTGCTGCTTGCAGCATAGAGCTGTTGTCAGCTGAGAACCAGCTGGCGATCACAGAATCACAGAATGGCCAGAGTTGGAAGGGACCTCAAGGATCATGAATCTCCAGCCCCCCTGCCACAGGCAGGGCCACCAACCTCCTCATTTAATGCTAGACCAGGCTGCCCAGGGCCCCATCCAACTTGGCCTTGAACACCTCCAGGGACGGGGCATCTACAGCCTTTCTGGGCAGCTGTTCCAGCACCTCACCACTCTCTCTGGAAAGAATTTCCCCCTGACATCCAACCTAAATCTTCCCTCCCTCAACTTCAAACCATTTCCCCTTGTCCTGCAGTTATCTACCCCTTCCAAGAGTTGACTCCCCTCCTGTTTGTAGGCTCCCTTTAGGCACTGAAAGGCTGCAATGAGGTCACCCCACAGCCTTCTTTTCTCCAGGCTGAACAAGCCCAGCTCCCTCAGCCTGTCTTCGTAAGGGAGGTGCTCCAGTCCCCTGATTGTCTTTGAGGCTCTCCTCTGGACCCTCTCCAACAGCTCCCTGTCTTTCTTGTACTGGGGGCTCCACACCTGGACACCGATCAACTTTATGAGGTTCAGGAAGCCAAGTGGCAAAAAGAACCGGATGTATGATACAGATCAAAGTAGTTCTGAGTCAGCACTCTCCCATTTTAGCCAGGTCTTTTTTTTCCACAAAGTTATTATTTACATATCAGCTAGCTTACAGGTTGAGAAATGGTTGTAGCAGCGTTTGTAGTGATGTGTGCAGTAACCACGATAGCATCCTTGTATGCTCACTGTTGGCTAGTGAAAGGCCATTATTTATTCACATTTGTTGGGTTTCCCTGTGGGAACCCAGCTCCAGGTACCCCATAGAGAAGACTAGTGCTTAATGAATTCACTTTGTCACCTATGAAGTTACAGCTTCAATGCTGAGGAGAAAAAAATTGATGGTTTGTCCTCTCCCAAGGTTCATTTGGGTCCTTACAACTAAGTAAGCCAGATAGTTCACTTTGCACCTGCTGATTCTGATTCAGGTAAAGATTAAATGACAGGAATCTTCTGGGAATTAATAATTTCACGGATTTTCAAGTGCACTTTTATGGGTTATGTTGATTTTAGTTTTTTAGTGAGCAGTAGTCAGCAGTGAGTTTTACCTGAAGCATCTGTGTTGGAGTTCCTGCTGTGCCAATCTCTTGCAGTGGTCTGGTACTGCTGTGGCTTTGGCCAGACCAGGGGAGTACCATAGCTTATTTTCCCATTTGTATGGGGGAATAAAAAAGACCTACATGTATGGATGCCTCTTTTGGAACATTAACATATGTTTCTTTGTCTTTTTTTCAGGAAGTGCTAGAGCTTGCGTTCTCTATATTGTATGACTCAAGTGGCCAGCTGAATTTCATTGCTCCAGACAAGCATGAGGTGAGTCAAGTTCAGAGCATAGAAGCTTCTTTGAAGCCCTCTCAGCTCCTCAGCTTTGTAGGAGCATAGGAATGGTCACCCTATTACAGAGAACAAGTCCGTCTGAACCTGTGTCATGTCCCACAACAAACTGAAAGCAGAGGGATTGGTATGGGAGCAAGACCTGCAGTTTTCATGTGTATCCTGAACTGTGTGTTTTGCATTTGTGTGTCACAGAGCACCATGGGGGACAAAATCCAGGACAATATTTCTAAGACCTACTGAAATGAAAACTATAAGTAATGGAAAGAAGGGAGTTTGGGAAAATGTCACAGTTCCACAGACCTGGCTCACCATTTTCTGGTGCAGTAAAGATTTTTTCTTCATCTGGTCTGTGTTAGACACTGAAACACTTTGCTTTGTATTCTATTTTGTGAACTTTAATTCAACATCAATGATTTGTACGGCCAAACTGTTCATGAATCACTACTGTCCTCAGCTCGTCTTGACCATGTCTGTATAATCAAGGGTGGTTATACAAACACAGAGTCTCAATTTTATGTGCTCTCCAGAACAGCATATCCTCTTTTTCTTAGTTTCGTGCTTCTTGAAAGCATTTATGACAGGTGATTATAGAAAGTCATTTCTCTTGCATCTCTATCAGTGGATACAACAGGGGCTTGCAGCTGGTCTCACTTTTGTATGAAGTGTAAATAACAACAGCAAGGCACAGTGATGGTCTCCTCCCTGCTTCTTTCTCTTACTTGATAACAGAAGGAATTGACAGAATTGTTGCCTTTTGAGAGATGGTGGAATTTATTTATGAAAGTATGTGGAAGCATCACAAGTGAGTCTCTCAAAGAACTTGGAATTTTCAAATAAAAATTTAGCTGAGAAATATTGCTGGTAAATTTTCATCCACGAGCAGCAGGATCCCAGGCATAATGTGCCATTAGAGCTGTTGGTCCAAATCAAACATGATTGTCTTCATCCACTGAACTGGACCTATGTTAGGTACTTTCTGATATGAATTCTCCAGAAATTGAATTCTAGTCTGTTTCAGCTCATAAAAGCAAATAGTCATGAAAGTCAACAGATTTTACTTCTGTTGTAAATATAGCCTAAGGGTACAAGTGTATTTTAATGGTCTGAATGTTCAAAACTGCTACTGTACCACACTGGCTGATGCTAGCATTGAGGTGCACTAGTGATTGTGTTAAAACACCTTTATTATCTTTATATCTCTTTTTGATCTTATGGAGCTTCTTTGAAGCAAAAATAATATGCTCAAAAAGGGGCCAGAGGCAACAATCTCTGCTGCTATTTGATAGATCCCACATGAACATTTTCAAAAGGGCATCTCCCTTCTCCTGTACTTTTTCTTGAATTACAGAGGAATGAGTTATGGTTAGAGTGAATAGTGCAAGTGTACAGAGGAAGCACCCACAAGGAAAGGCAGATAGGTTGTTGTGAACCTCATGATTCTTCATCCAAGTAACTGAGGTAATTGTTGATAAAAATGCTGATTTAGCAACATTGTCAGCTAGGGAGATTTCACAGGTAGCACCTCAAGATTTGGACAGCTTTGTGTAAAGTGCCAGAAAGGATGTTAGTGCCTGAGAATTTCAGGTCAGATTTAGAGAACTTTTTTTCTGCAGTCTTTTTGACTGTAGAGAGAGTAGGATGTGGGAATCTAGTGTGTCCTAAAAACAGCTGGGGTGATAGGATAATACAAGTTGTAAGGGACCTTGAAAGGTCCTCAGTTTAACCTCTTGCTCAAAGCATGTCAGCAATGAGCACAGACCAGATTGCTTGAGGCTATATCCAGATGGATCTGGAAAAGCTTCAGAGATGGAGCCTGTGCATTCTTTCTCATTGTCTGGCTCCACTGCTTGACTCCTAAGGTATTTTTTTTTAATAAAATCTCATTACAGAACCAATGTCAATGAGATTTGGACCTCTTTCTTGCACACTTAAGTATGGCAATACCCTTAGCCATCTGCTGGAGCTTACTGCTAGCCAAAGGATTCAGCACTGAGAGATCACTTCATCATATTTGTTTTTCATTTGAATACTAATAGCTGGTTTCAACTACATAGCAAAAAAGATGGATTAATCTTATCCTTGATTTTTGACAGAGAAACTGATGAAGTAGGCTATAATTAGGTTTCTCTGGAATTTTACGAAAATGAATCTGTAGTAAATTAATTTTTCAGTGGCTCTTATTCTGTTTTGAATATAAAAAAGAAAAAAGCAATTGAATGAATGCCTCTGTTTTTCTACCTTCTTATTAGGATTTCTCTCTGCTCAAAATGTGTGGTTTAATTAGAGGCACTTGCCAACATGGAGATTAGAGAGGAATCCCCTTTTCCAGGCCATTGCACTCATTTGAATTCTGGCCAGAATTTAGTTTCTGTGGGCCCTGAATGAGTTATATCTGGAAGAGGAGAGAATCACAATTCTGCTTTCTGGATCACTGGTATTCCTCCACAGAGAAAATCCTGGCCATACTCACTGAGCAAGTGATGAACGATTTACGTCAGGTGCTGCATCTGTTGAATGGATGCTCTGCACTTCTGTAACTTGAGCAGGGCCCTTTGCCTTTCTATTCCTTTCCTTAAAGTGCATGCTAGGAAAATTTTCCCAAAGAAAGGTTTCAAGTTGGTCATAAAAAAAGATGTAGTATGTTTAAAAATAATTACAGGTCTAGGGTAGCTTTTTTTCTTTTCTTGATATTCTGCATACTCTCCACAGTAGTTGCATGGTTTGCAAGTCTTCAGGGGCACACTTTGAGAGCTTAGAATAAGTAGGGAAATTGTTTCCTTGGTACTTGTTAGCAGGACAGCCTGAACCCTCACGTCTCTTCTACATAGCTGATCTGTACCCTCAAGTCTCTTTTGTATAGCTAATCATATTAAAGCTGCAGCTTGGCTTACCAATACCCTGAGTGAATTTCTAGCTCTGGTGCTCTTGTGGTACTGACTTAAATGGGTCGGATTTCACTTTGGATGTTGAAGTGTATTAACCATCCTATTTGAAAAACATGCCCTTTTTCTGGATGAAGATATACCCCAAGAGGGGGCTTTCTCTCCATCTTTCTTTAAGATAATCTTCATTTCTGCTGTAGGATGAAGTCAACTGTGGCTATCTTTAGATTTGCCAATATCATGTAGCAAATGGTCAGCTAAATTTAAAATCCAGTTTTTGGCGTGAAATCTAGCAGAAGTATTTGTAAGATAAAAATGTAGTTACGGTTGATTTAATTTTCTCCTGCAAACTAGGACACAAGTTCATGATTGAACTCTTTATTTTTAGATGATAGCATTTGAGTACTTCTGTTCATGGTTGAATAAATGGCCTGTAGTAATAAATGAAAGAGACTTATTTTGATACAAGTTGACTGTACATCACCAATCTCCCACGGGCTTGTTACGTATTTAAAATGGTTATTCAGCCAGTGTTTGTCTCAAGCTGTCAGCCATTGAGGAAGATAGCATCTTCTATTAGGAAAAAGCTAACAATAAAGAGGGGGTTTTAGAGACCAGTTCAGCATTTGCAGCATTTAGAATGTGAAGTAGAGGTTAAATAGGCACAGATTGATTGGTCAGTGAGAGCATATCTCTGCACAGGTTTGTTGATACCACCTTGTTATGATTTTTTTGCTATAGATTAAAGTGGGTAGTTTATAGAGGATTTCTTACAGAAAGAGTCAAGGGGATTTTGAGCTGGAAATCAGCTAATTTAACTTCATGGAAAAATAGAATAGCGTGGGCAAGAGGGGACCATAAAGATCATCTAATGCCAATTCCCAGTAGCTCTCCCATTGGCAGGGTTGCCACCCACTAGTTTTATTTGTCCAGAGCCCCATCCAACTTGGTCTTGAATGCCTCAATGAATGGGTCGTCCACAATTTAGTTGTCCTGGTACAGAAGTTTGACATAAGAGAATCGTGCTCTGTAAGTATGGGGAAGAGGAGGAGGAGAAGGAGACATCTCCAAATATTCCTTATCCTAGGTGAAGTTTCATTCTTTCTCACTTAACTTTTGGGGAATGTTCTACAAGAAGTTTGGAGCAAATATCTAACTGTCAAACCATCTAGAGTTTGACATTTCTTCCTACTTTTAGAGCATTCTTTATTTTCTGAGCAGCTTGTTGGAACATACCTTCTTCGTGATATGAGGGAATAAAATGAATCAACCTCATTTTAGGTCACTTAGTAAGTCCTGAGGGAGCAATAACCGTAGAAGACCAAACCAGACAATCAGTCTGTATCCAGGAAGTCTATTAATGACAATTTTTCTCTTTTCCCTGTGCAGTACTGTGTATGGACCGATGGGCTGAATGCCCTCCTTGGGAAAGATATGTTGAGTGATTTGACACGAAACGACTTAGATACGCTGCTCAGCATGGAGATAAAGCTACGCCTCCTTGACTTGGAAAATATACAGATCCCAGACGCTCCTCCACCTATCCCAAAGGAGCCCAGCAACTATGACTTTGTTTATGACTGTAACTGAGGCTGCCACTGAAACTTGCTTAGAAACTGGAAATATTATAACTGGAGAGATATTAAAAAAAGAAGAGTGTGTGAGAAAAACAGAAACCCACTTGTGCACCTTGGATTTTGGCTTTGGGGAGGGATGTAGAAACACTTGCATTCTTCCCCACTCCCTGCATCCTTTCCTTCCCCATTCCCATCTTCCCCATTGCTCATCCAAATCCACATTGCTTTAATTAACTTTTAATTGCAGGCCATTGGCCTTGCTTAAGGCAAAGACTGCCACTAAGAAGCACCCTCTCGAGGACTTTTTTTACATTTTTAATACTGGAATAGACATTCTTAACTAAAGGACAACGCTACCAAACCGCATGCCTCTGGCACCCACTTGTCAGAGCAGAGGCTCTAACTGGAAGGAGGAGGGAGGTAGGGAGAAGAAGCAGCTACTGTAAGCAGAAGATTTCCCCAGATACTCCCAAGAGTTTGCTCACAACTGAATCCAATGCAATGACCAAAAAAAAAAAAAAAAAAAAAAAAAAAAAGTTAACTGCTTCCCAGTACTCGCACCGTTCATCGCTGTCATTGTTCTCTCCACTGTCATCTCAGCTCTTGTCACTGGCCTTCACCCAACTGATCACCTCTCAGAATGGAAAGTCTGCAGGTTTTTGCTGTACCATATGCTGTGATGCCGCAACAGCTTTTAACTTCTTTTCCTCCCAGCTCTCAAATAGCCCTACACTAGCAGTCCACTAGCACAAGCTGTTTATGAAGCCACTAGTGTGCCCTGTCCCTGTAGCATTCCCTAAGCCTCAACTGCCTCTAAAATTGGCTTGTTGCTACTCAGAGTTATTTTTATTTTCTTGGTCCAAAGTTCAACAGTAATTTCCACAAGCTAATTACAACTACCAGACATTTAGGTTTACATTGTTGTCATTGCTACAGTGTTACAAATTTGCAAGGGATTTTCTTTTGTACGGGTTCTAATTTTATTTTATTTTTTATTTTGCCAGACAAATATATTTAATGAAAACTAATTTCATTGTGAGTACTTTTGGGGAACAATATTTTTACTTAATTTCCATTTGGAACACTTGCCCTGAGGGGAAACACCGATATTCCCTTCAACTTTGCTGTTGAATAAAGATCTGAGTTGTGATGATTCTTGGAACTTTGTTTTTCTTCTGAAATTGTCTTTTATTCTGTACGGTTCCTAATGGTTGTCAAGTGTTTGGTACAAAGAAGAGAGGGAAAGGCTGGCCTTTTTCATCTGCGTCTGATTTCATTTACTGGTTTGCTTGTAGTGACGAGGATGAGGTGAGTCCAGAGATACTCACTTGCTGCAGGTACACAAGCCTTCCTGTGTTAAGGAGCCTTTCAGAAATCTGAAATCAAAGCACACTCACGTGCTTATGATGAATTCAAAGCTGCAGCCCTAGTGTGTTTGCTGGAGTAACTGTTCCTCTACTTCCATTTTCTCTATGAAGAGCGTTTCTTGCTGCGAAGGACAGGTACTGGGGAAGACTGGAAGACTCTCCCAGTTTCTCTTAGTGCTGAGTCTAGATCTGGAGGAACCCACCAGCCCTTATAGCTGAAGACAAATTTTTATTTGTGTTCGTTCCTCTCCTGCTCAGACCCAGCCTTAAAAAGACTGCGAGGGGCTTTTATCAGAGCTTGGACTATGGAGAAACCTGGAGAGTGGCTCCAGTTTAAACAGAGAAGAGAAGATATTGGTTCAGGTGGCCTTTGTCCGTCAGGCTGTCTGGGACAAGCATCCTGACTGAAATTAGAGCAGGTGGGAAGAGAAGTCCCTCAGGTGCAGTGAAACAGGGGTCAAGGAGAACATCAGGAGCAGAGCAGGAGAGTCCTAAAGAAGGTGCCTTCCCAAAGTGGTGTTTGCAGTGTTTCATGAATGCCTTGGTCCACTAGGAGACGCAAGTTGGTTTAGGTGGTGATGGATGGTCACATAAAAAGTACAAAGTTAATATGGACTACGGCCCGAGAGAAAATTCAATATGAATGAGAATGAGCGATGTGTAGTGTAGGAAGTGGAAGTTCAAGTTATTTTATTCTGTGGAGTCTTTTAATACAGCGAAGGCAGTCAGGGGTCATGAATGAGTGGCTTGCAGGGATTTGGGGAGGGATCCTGGAGCTGGAGACAGAGGTAAGAACACATTTATTTACCAAGCACTGATGCCTTCCGACTTCGTGAAGACCAGACTCAGAGCAAGACAGAGAATCCAAGTGGTTTTATTAACCTCCTTGACTCAGCTGGGTGAATTGGCTGTGCATAACCTTTGCTTAGCATTGTTTAAGGACTGCAGAGTTGCTTGTGAGTCGGTGGCAAAAGAAATGCCTTTGGCTTCTGGATTGACCCTGTTGCTGCTGCTCAGGGGCAATCCAACAAGGAGATCTTAACAGGAGCACGGCTGTGTGAGCATTGGAGAGCAGCAAACAAAAACCTTCCTTCTGAGGATGGATTCTGCAGGAGGAGGAGGTTACACTTGGCTCTCCCACAAAGGTGAGTGCCCCAAACTGCAGGGATGCTAAATTTGTCCCCCTACGTGTCCTGCCTGTGCCATCAGAAAGAAGAGACTTGGGCTCCGTGCTGGCATAATAGCCCGTGCAGCTATTTTAGCAACACTCCTCCAGCAATGCGAAGGGTCATGGTGCAAACACGAATCCTGCCTCCAGTTTCTAGAGCAGTCACACAGCTCGCTTCACCATTATGAAATTTTAAAAAATGTTTGGTGATGAACGAGCACCCTGCTGCTTCCCATTCATTTAAAAAAACAAGAATTAAAGTGGCAATTTCATTCGCTTGTGCTGTTGTGTGTTCTGAGAAAGCTTTTAAGGCTTTCCCTTCAAGAAGCTTCAGAAATAGAATTGCTGTTGAAGTTTTGTGTATAAATTCGAAACACTAAATGGGTAATTGCTTGTAAAAGCTATAAAGGGAAGAGAAAAAAAAATAATAAGCCTAATTTTAGCTCTTGTTTTTGAAATGACTTTCTCTTTGAAAGTTAATATATTCTTTACAAGAAAACACGAATCTGGAAAAATACATATCTTAAATCAGCAGTTTGTCCTGCCCGGAAGACCAAGGAGAGGAGCAGCAGTGCTGAGCAATCCTGCCCAGAAGAAAGCGATGTGTCATGGGAAGGACTTTCTGTCGTGGCTTACAGTTCTTCTTTTCCAAAGCAATTCTTTTTTTAGCACAGAGAACACTTCAACATTACAGCCTGCAGAGAAAATAACATTCTCTTGCAGAGCAGCAAGTAGGTGATGACTGTTTTTTGGGTTGCAAAACTACCATGCAAGATCTTGATTACTTTATTTGTGAAATCCTCCTGATGCCCTCTCCAGGATTGCGTTCTGCCTGCCTGAGGCATTGTTACCAGCATTTCTCTCACGTCAGTGCTCCCAGTAGTGAAGATGTGTCGCATGCACAGCCTTGGGTATGCGGTGGACCCACTGCTTTCACACAGACTCTGACTGATGAAGGAAAAGAAGAACGACCCTTCACAGTGCTGAGGATAAAACCCGACACATTGGAAAGCTCCTCAGAGCTTGCTGAACCAGGATAAGACGTGCTCAGCGCTCCGCACTGGATGATAATTATGGTTGAACACTGAACATCCACGTGGCTTCCTGATTAACAGAGCACTTAGGCTTATCCCTGTGCAGCAGGAGAGCCTTGATTTCAGACTGATGAGCAGCACCGAAATTTAGGTGTGTGCTGGCGGCCTGGCTGGGTGAAGGCTTTGTGGAGAAAGACAATTTTACCCATTTCTGAGCTTTCACAACATGCTCAGAGGCGATGCAGTAACGACTTTGCTGTGCCCTGTGTGATCAGCCTGGTGCCACTGGTTACCTCGTGATGCTGAAGGAGACACTGCCTGGCTACTGAATGACTCTGCAGCTGCTCCACACATCCTTGGAACTTAGGCAGAGGTAGAAGGGTTGAAAGGGAGTCTCCTTTTGGCATGAAGTCAGGCTGAAGCGTGAGAGAGGGTTGTGTCAACAGAGAATTTTGTTGGGGCAGCACCACGTACAAAATGGATGTTGGCAGAGTGATGAATTTTTATTGCAAGGTGATTTCAAAGTGCTTATTCAGAGAGCACACCCTTGTGAGGGCAAGGTTAAAGAACTGGAGAGAGCTTCACACTCACTTAGTGACATATATTTACATTTTATTTCTCCTTCTTGCTGGGAGACTGTGGATGTCTCTGGGGTGCAGAGATGCCCTGGTGGTGCTCAGCTTGCAGAGACACAGGCAGAACCTAGAAAACGTGTCCTTAGCCATCCTTCTGCAAGCAGAGAGATTGCTGTTGAAAACAGAGGAAACTGATGGTTTTTTTTCCAACAGATAATTTCTCGGACATCCCACTCTGGTTGTTGTGAAGAGATCTATAGCTTTTTTGGCTTTATGTGATCTTGCAACAACCAAAAAAGTCTCCTCATGTTGGAAGTCTCACCCAAATGCTTTCCCATTCTCTTTACCACTCGTTTATCAGTTATTTCCTAGAGGACATGGCCCATGGGGCAGTCACAAAACCTGGGGACCCACTGCTGCTTTTCCCAAGCGGATGCCAGCCTTGGTTCGGCCACCAGGCAGCAGTGTGATGAGACACCAAAGATGCCTTGGCCAAGAAACACAGGCAAGGGCAAACTTTCCTTCCTGCAGCACGACATGTAAGGATGTGTCTTGAATGACTTTATTTCAATTGTCATTAGCGGGTTCTGCAGCCTGATTGAGCGCCGCAGTTAAACTCTCCCTTGATGAAACCTCGTGAGTCTAATTTTAATCCTGTTTGCAGCCTGATGTTCAGCATAGCCTGGCTGTGTTCTGGGACTCCTTCAGCTGGTCATGAAGGGGAGGGAGGCTGCTTGTCTTTTTCTTAGTAAGAGGCAACATTTGTTTCCCAAAGTACGTCTGTATCCTCTCAATTTCCCTTGAAAAGTTTTGGATTTGATATCCCCTCCCCACGAGCAGAGGACACCTTGGTGACCTACGCTGTCCCACTGGCAGGCCACACCAAATCAGGAGAAGTAACTTCAAAAATCTGCCAGGCTTCTGCAAATGCTTAAAATGAGGACATCAAGGGCACTGGTGGCTGCAGAGGGAGCGGCAGCAGGCTGTGCAGGCTGCTGACTGCCTGCCGCTTTCAAGGACAGGGATAGGGATAACTCATCCCCAGGGTTTGCCCAAGGGCTGGCTCCCTGCTCCCCACTCCCACCCCAAAAGGCAGCAGAACTGGGTGCCTCTGCAAAACACGTGAGGGGTTCCTCTGCCAGCAGGATGACATCCAAGCAGCACCAGTAGGATTACTTCTGCCGTGCTTTTGTTCAACTGTGCTACACCCTCTGAAGTATTGCTCAACTCACAGTGTCCTCTGTCAGCCTTGGACCCATCTCCAGGCTCTGGGATTTCCCCCTGTCCCAGGCTCAGTGCTGTAACATCTTACATCTCTCCTTCATTATATCATAAATTGCCCACATGAAGACCAGCAAAGCCAACTTCCACATCAAACACAACTCTCAGGCTTCTCTGGTTCCCCATTCGATTTAAACTCCACTCAAAGCTGAGGTTGAGGCGTTGGAATGACCTTTCATCGCCTTTCCATCATCCCACAAAGCTTTGTTTGCAGTCAAATGTTTTCCTTCAGTGAAAACCCTTTAAGAGTCCTCCACTCTCGTCTTCTTGCCACCTTATGAAGTTTTCCATCTCTTCTCAAACACAGCAGCTCCCCGAAGGACCCACAATGCACGCAGGGTTCACATACCTCACATCCATCTCCTCAAAAACAGGCTCAAACCAACACATTTACAACTTGACAGCATTGAGAGGGCATGGAGGAAAATCTGAGCTGGGGGCACCCTGATGGAGGCTGGTGGGGTTGTGCCAAGGGGAGGCTGGGGCTGTGCTGTTGCTTTGAGAAGTGAAACTGTAAAGCTGAAGTGGCTGGAACTTGCTCCCCGTGTTGCTTTTGGGCTGCTGGAGGTCATGGTTCTCTGTGGCAAAGTGCTAGTGTTTCAGTGCTTCCTTTAATTCCAGGAGTCACATAACTGAAACAAAATATGAGGTTTTTTGGATTTTTTCACTTTCTATTAGAAATTAAAGAGCTGTGGGGCTTTGCTTTTTTTATTTCCTTTTCTTTTTTTTTTTTTGCA